CTGACTGCAGCTGCAACCTCAACTTCTGCCTTGGCCTCTCAGGTAGCTAGGACTCAAGTGATCCTCCTGCCTTGGCCTCTCAGGTAGCTAGGACTCAAGTGATCCTCCTGCCTTGGCCTCTCAGGTAGCTAGGACTCCGTGAATCCCCCTGCCTTGGCCTCTCCAAGGTAGCACAAGGACTCAAGTGATCCTCCTGCTTTGGCCTCTCAGGTAGCTAGGACTCAAGTGATCCTCCTGCCTTGGCCTCTCAGGTAGCTAGGACTCAAGTGATCCTCCTGCCTTGGCTTCTCAGGTAGCTAGGACTCAAGTGATCCTCCTGCCTTGGCCTCTCAGGTAGCTAGGACTACAGGTACACACCACCACACCCAGCTAATTTTGAATTTTTTTCTAAAGATACGAGGTCTTCCTATGTTACTGGCTGGTCTTCAAGTCCTGATCTCAAGCTATCCTCCCACCTCAGCCTCTCAAAATGCTGGAATTACAGTTGTGAGCTACAATGCCCAGTCAGATGCTAGTTTCTGTGATGCTGCTTTTGGCTTGTTAAACATAACTGACCTTAGGACTCAAGTGATCCTCCTGCCTTGGCCTCTCAGGTAGCTAGGACTACAGGTACACACCACCACACCCAGCTAATTTTTGAATTTTTTCTAAAGATGGGGTCTTCCTATGTTGCCCCAGCTGGTCTTCAAGTCCTGATCTCAAGCTATCCTCCCGCCTCAGCCTCTCAAAATGCTGGAATTACAGTTGTGAGCTACCATGCCCAGTCGAATGCTAGTTTCTGTGATGCTGCTTTTGGCTTGTTAAACATAACTGACCTTAGTCCTCCAGTTTTGTATGAGAAGAATACTTTTGGTGAGTAGAAAACATTTTAAGCTTGAGGCTGGTTGGAAGGGTTCGATTTACTTTTACTTATAAATCAGTTGTAAAATATGACTTGCATTTGTTTTGAGAATTAATTTCATAGTTCTCCTCTTGCTCTTAGTAACATCTCTGTAGTGTTGTCTTTTAACTTATTTCTTGGTGCCACCATCTTCCATTTATTGGGGTGACTTCTGTAACTCACTTGATTAAAAAAAAAAATTCCAAACTTTTTTTTTTCTTTTTTTTGAGATGGAGTTTTGCTCTTGTCGCCCAGACTGGAGTGCAATGGTGCGATCTTGGCTCACTGCAACCTCTACTTTCTGGGTTCAAGCGATTCTCCTGCCTCAGCCTCTCGAGTAGCTGGGATTGCAGGCGCCTGTCACCACGCCTGGCTAATTTTGTATTTTTAGTAGAGACGGAGCTTCACCATGTTGGCCAGGCTGGTCTCAAACTCCAGACCTCGGGTGATCCGCCAGCCTCAGCCTCCCAAAGTGCTGGGATTACAGGCGTGAACCACTGTACCTGGCTATTAAAAAAAAAAAAATTCTAACTGGATTTTTTGTTTTTAACAATTCGGTCACCATACTTCTGAAATACAGAAACGAAGACGAATTCACGTCATGCACAATCGTGCTAATGGCAGTCCTGTGAGTTGCCTATGCTGTTGGGATGAAGCTGGAAGAATATTATCTGAAAGCCTTGGATTCATCATATCTGGAAGGTCTATAGATCAGTGTGGTCCATTGTGGCTTGCCTGTTAAGACAGGTGAATCCTATTTGCACAGATGTTCTTGCTTTTCTCTCTTCCTCTCCAGGAAGAAAATAAAATATATATGCCCATTAATCTGCACAGATGAGCCCCATTGATAGAGCATATTCTTGGGAAAAGTAAATTTGCAATTCAGTTGTGTATAATATACAAAAAAGGGGACAAAATGCCCAGTCCATTTTACTTTTAGCAATTATAAAGACCCAAGTGCTAATGAAGCTATAGGACTCATTTATCTTGGGTTATCTTAAAATTGAGAAAAGATAATGTATGTTTCTAAAATTAATCCAGTGGGCTTAGTTTGGCTTTAAAAACTGAACATAAATATTATGGCCTCAGATGAGATAATCACAAAGATTTAGATGACACTGTATTCTTCTCCCTTATTTTTGTTAGTGGTCATTCTGCATAAAAGCTGTGTTTGATATATACCATTGGAATAAAATGTTCAGAGTCCATTCAATATTTTAAATATTTATATGCTCCTTTGAAGTAGTTTCAAGTGGAGAGGGAAAAAAAGGCAGAGCTAAGTAACCGTGGAAACAGCCATTTTATGTAAAATGTTAAAAACTACACAAGCAGGCTTGAAGACAGTTTTAAAACCAATAGTGGTACTTATATAGACATTTTTTTAGCCTAGAATGAGTTAATATTCCTGAGTTAGTTTTCCTTATCACCTGTCTCTCATTATCTCTCTTTTTAGAAGTCAAATGCTAGTATGATGACTGAAGTGAGGAAAATATATTGAAGCTGAAGAGATTTACATGAGTAGAACCGTTCCTAATACTACTTTAAACAGAAGAATAAACATTGAATGAAAGGGCAGTGAGGTACACCAGTTGCAGTCTGTTCTAACTGGATAGTCACAAAAACAATAGAGGAAAGGACACTCAGTTTGGTGTTGGGAGAAGAAAAGCCAGTACCTGATAGTTTTAGCAGGTACATAAAATATTACCAAGTAGAAAGCAGCATCGTCTAATGAAATGAGACTTCTCATACGCTCTGTAGAAGCATTTCCTAGATTGTTTTTTCAAATTCAAAAATTTCAAGTGCACTTCCAAAAGTTTGTTGAAAGTGGCGTGGTGCAGCTTGGCGTGAATTCACAGCTGTTTAACATCTCAACGCTTTCAGAGAACTCGGCTGCTAATTGGTTCCAAAGCCAATTTAAGTTGTCTTATCACGCAACGGGAACTCAAAATGCTGATTGGACTAAGACGCGTCGCTTACAACGTCTATAAATCATGATAGCGATTGTTCTTGGAGGGATTCTGTACAGAGCAATTTACTGACTGTTAAAAATTTAAACATCACGTTCTCAAGTGGAAACTCGCAATTATTTGAGGAGAGAAGAAGGGAGAAAAAGAGCGTTCGGAACTTAGAAGAGTACGTTAAAAGGCACCAGGAAACATTCACACAAAGGGAACGATTTTCGTTTAAGTATTTATAGGAATGGAACATGTTTGCCTGCAGTGTTTCTGTGCTAAAAATTTTCAGGAGTTAGTTATAGATCATTCCTTTTTCTTCTTTAACTTCTCTTTCCTCAAATCGGGTTTTAATTATCCTTCGAGATGTGTGTTTTAAGTGGTATGTCTTCGATGTGGGTGTGTAAGCTAATTCCAGGGAGGAGGGCAGATTTAGCAATAAACTACAACGCACTGGAACTAAGGAATGTTCCTGTACCTTTTTTCCCCTGATGTTTCTTTCCAGTAACAAAATGTTAGTGTGAAATCATTGTACTGTATTTAGTACAAAACAAATAGGGATTTCATTTATGCCTTTAATAATACCTGAAAATAAAAATAAAGCAGGCAAATAAATACAATTCAGATGACCTTGGGAATACTACACAAGTAAATCACGAGAGATTAGCGAGCGAAGCACTGGACAAATTGTTTGAAACAAAGGGAAAGTTTTTCAGCTCACAAGATGAAAGCTTTGATTTCCTCATAAAAGAAAACTGTTAAGAAATAATTATTTTCCTGAAATACAACGTTCCAAATGGGAATTGGCGAGGGGAAGCAACAGTATTTTAACACATTTTGCAATCTGCAGTGCTGTTTGATTTTGTTGCATAATTTTTCGATATGCTTAAAAGGTGGAAAATAGAATTAAGAGGGTTGGAAACATGAAATGAAACATTTTGGTTCTGATAGTACCAATCGGAAAGCAGAAAGGAACAGCCGCAGACTGCCTTTATTATTCTTCATAAAGGCTGTGGCAGAAGGGGCAGGCAGCATGGGAGTCTCTGTGGCGCAATCGGTTAGCGCGTTCGGCTGTTAACCGAAAGGTTGGTGGTTCGAGCCCACCCAGGGACGCGCTCTCGTTTTACGAGCTGGTCGCGGGAAGTTTTGTAGAAATCGAGTTCAGGCCTCCGGGCTAAGCTGGGGTGGATTTCCAGGGACCAAGCAGAGAAACCACCCACCATCACACCGCGCGGCCAGCCGGCGAGCCCTTCGGTTTCGTCCTGTGCCGAGCGGCCTCCTCTACCCCGCTGTCCTCTCCTGGCTGCAGGTGAGCGCGGCCAGCCCTTCCCCAGGGTAGTCGCAGGGATCTAGGCCTCGCCAGGGTCCCGGAGCGGGGACGCGCGCGGGCCCGTTTGCCGCGCGCGACCGCCTCTCCAGTTCTGCGCGTCCCCGGAGGCCCGAGCGTACACGGGGAACGCGGCCCGGGCTGCTCTTGCTCGGCTTCGGGACGCCTGAAATGTCACGGGGCCACCGCAATGCATGCATTTCAACAGTGTCAAGTTCGAGCTGCAAACTGAAAACTCTCACATTTTGTTGAAGCATGGCCGCCCTTTTGTCTGTTCCCTGTCAGCGTAAACATCTCCGTCTGCGACTTAAACATTAATTGTTCCTGGTATTAATGCCTACAGAAATAATTTTTGTTGCAGTAAATCTTTCATGTGGACAATATTGTAAGAATATATATTATATTCACTTTTTCTACTAAAACGCTTGAATTTATTAGAGAATAGAATAAGCCTGCAACACTTCCCATCGATACAGAAAAGGAGAAAAACCTCTTAAAATAGTATGATTGTTAAACCTAAAAAAAAGGATGAGAAAGATTAAAAGTGAAGCTGCTACATAATTTGCTTCAACTTTCTACTTTCAACGTCCCCTACTTTTATTTCCGCAAATGCAAAACCCTCTCAAAATAGTTTCCTTTTATTTTATTACTTTGAGAAATAATCCTAGTTTCATCATAACAATTATTGTCTTGGTTTGGACTACAGAAAGTTGAAAGAGAGTTTTGAAGAAAAGTGTAAGAACTAGTACAAATGATTCCTGTGGATATATTGTTTTATATTCTTCGTTATATTTCAGCTCAGTTGACATATTAATAAAGGCTAATTTTACTGAGCGCTTTCATGGAGAAAGGTATGTAATCTTCATAAGCCTTCCAGGTCCTATTACTGCCATTGTACAGATGAGGCAACTGAGGCACAGTGCCACTGAGTAATCAGCTGAGTAATTTGCTTGAAGTCACAGTGAGTTTGGAACCTGGGTAGTCAGGCCCATGCCCAAGCTCCTCCCTGCTGTACTGCCTGCTTGGAAGTTCCTTCCTCTAAAATACAGCTACCTAATTAGTTAATTTAAAACCAAAATGATACTTGAATTGGTTTTTATGAAGTTTCGTTAATATTTTGCTCCAAATCTCGTAAAGGGAGTAAAATAAAAACCAACACAGCATTTATGGCGTGCTAAAGGGCATTGTTAAATTATGCATTCATTGGGCTGGTCAATTTTATTCAAATGAAGGCTGTGTGTGAACATGAAGTCTTCCTGGGGAATGTGTCTTAGGGAAACAATTTGTTAGCATTTAGGTACAGAAGGCAAGATGAGAGAGAGAGGCAGGCAAAATCTGGAAGGAGATAGATTCAGGCCATGGAGTCTAGAAACTAAGGATTCTTTGACCCCAAGCTAATGTTTGGGAATTGGGACATCCACGGAGACCCCTGTTTCGGGACACTTTTGTGAGATAGTACCAGAATTTGTACTTGACTAGGGGCCTAGGTGGCAGTTTAAAATTCGATCTTCAATTTCTAAGTACATTCTATTTCATCCTATTTTGGGTATTAAGATGATTTAGAGACCAGAAAATGAAGGAGAATTAAACGGGAATGGAGGTGCCGCGCTGAGTGCAAAACTCCCCTCTAATGTAAGCAGAAGCAGTTGCTGTTATTATGTGGACAAGTGCTTAGGCCATTTCCTTGGCTCTTGCAGGCAGGTAAGATACGTAGGCCCCAGTGTGGGTGGCTGACACCGGTAGTCTCAGTACTTTTTTGAGGCCAAGGCAGGAGGATTACTTGAGCCCAGGAGTTAGAGACCAGACTGGGCAACAGAATGAGATTCCATGTCTACACAAAATAAAACATTAACCCAGCATTGTGACCACTTCATTGCACTCCAGCATGGGTCACAGAGCAAGACCCTATCTCAAGAAACAAAAAAAGGTAGGTGGGCAACAATTTGGAAGAATTGCGTAAATATTTATAATTGCATTGGCTTTATAAAATTTCAATGTGTCATGGTTGTAGATGTTGCAATAAATGCTATTTCTGAGGAGTATCTTTTTGTCCTTAATTTCTTGGCTCTGTAATGCCAGCCAAACCCAGATATATGTCAAGATCATTTAAAGTTTTAATTAAAGGCTGAATAGCATTTAAAACGCTATATTGTATATTTGAGTATGTAAATATGTTCCTAATATTGCTAATAGAGTTGTACACTTAAACTGCATATACAAAATCAGAGGGAAATTCACTGAAGTAACATAATAAAAGGTGAACCAATTGCTATGATTTAAATATAAAAACTCATTAGAGAATGTACTATTCATCTAATTTAGGAAAGGACAAAACAGATGATAGATAAAAATTAAAGATCTGTCACAAAAATCATAGAAATCATTCATTTAAAGTATTTTTATAATGCAAGTGTTTCTTTAGAACATAATGCAGGCTAGGAGGAAGCCACATGGTTTAACATGTCTCTGCTTTCATTTCTAACACTTATGTCTGATGTCATGCAATGCAAAGTTTAGGAAAAAAAGCCTGAAGAAACTGAACTGCTCTGTTTCTGCATGCATAATACATGATAATGAATAATGCAAATATGAACTTTTATTTCTCTGAATTTTGATGGACACAGGGCCTAAAATGTTCTTCAATTTATAGCTACAATTGAAAACAGCAATGAATTGAGGGTAGAATAAGCTATAATACATTTAACCAGAAAATAGTTAAAGCACTTGAAACATTTTAAATAGGTAAGAATGTTAATTTTATCAACTGTATTATTTCATTTTAAGTCCTCGGTGTTGATCCCTTTTGGTAATGTCAGTGTATTCTGTGTTTTTACTTGTTGAAAATAAGCTTTGAGCTTACAGGAACAGGGTGAGAATAAACTATGTTTATAGATCACACCAAATACTTAAATCTTAAGTTATTTTTAAAGCCTACATATTTAAGAAAAATCTCAATATTTTAATTGTCTGAAATATGAATGAAAAGGAAACTTTTTGATTAAGCATAAATACATATAGAAATGTACACGAATTATTGAGTATAACTGAATACATTTTTATAAAGTTAACACATCTTTGTAAACAGCTCTCAACATCCCAGAACTCCGCTTTATGTTTTTTTTTTACCAGTCACCAAAATATAAGTTTTAAACTGTAAACATACAGATTATTAGGTTAAAATGTGAATTTTTAAGTTGTCATTGATCAGTATTGAAAAATAAATTTACGACTAAATCTTGTGTCTTAGTCTGCTCTGCTCAGCCTACAATAAAAAAACACCACAGACTGGGTGGGTTAAACAACAGATACAATTTATTTCTCACAGTTCTAAAGGCTGAAAAGTCTGAGATCAAAGTGCCAGCAAGGTAGGTTTTATTCTGCTGACTCTTCTCTTGGCCTGTGGGAAGCTGCCATCTTGCTGTGTGCTCATGTGACCCCTTTTTTGTGCATGTACCTAGGAGAGGAATTTCTAGCTCTCTGATATTCTACTCATAAGGACACTAATCCAATCATGAGAGCCACAGCCTCATCACCTTATGTAACACTAATTACTTCTCCAAAGCCCCATCTCCAGCTTCTGTCACATTGGGAATTAGGGCTTCAGAATATATGTTTTGGGGAGGACAGAAACATTCAATCCTTAACACCGTATCAGAGGAATACTTACAGATGAAGATTAGAAAAAATAACAGAAATTAGAAATCAATTTTCCATGCCTACTCGCTTATGACCTAACCATCTATGATAGACTTGGTAAGAAAAAAATGGTGGTATTAAGGCAGGAAATATGAGAAATTTGCTATTTACTTGAAGGGTTTAATTTTGTCTATAAACAAATAAAAAGTGCTCTTATCCCTTTCCATCAAAGATACAAAACAAAAACAACCTTTTAGAAATTATTATGGCATTTAAATTAATTCAGTTTTATTTTTGGAAATAAAGTGTAAATTTTAAAACCAAGATGAGACTTGATCTTCAGAGTTGCTGTAAGATAACTCAATAATTTCCCAGATAATATAACCAAAAATCTTAAGAATTTTTATCTAGAGTTCTATATTGGAGGAAAAAAATTAGTTGTCCTGTCATTTTGAAACTATAAAAAAAAGAGGAAAATCTAGAGCTATATGAAAAAAGCTATATTTAAAGTTGTGGAAAGTCCAAAAATACCACTGAGGAAACGCATTCCAGAAAGGATCAGTGTACAAGAATCTCAAGAAAAGTTTTACTTTGTTTAAACAAAATTATTCATTGTTATTATTAAAGTGGTATATGCCTAAGGTTATAATAATAAATATCTATAAAAATTTCAGTATAATTATGTTCATTGCAACTTTACTTAAAATAGTGAGAAACTATAAACAAGAGAAAATATCAAACACTAATGGAAATAGTGAAATAAATTGTGGTATATTCTTTAGACATGAGAATACATAAAAAGCATTTATACAGATGTTTAGTGTTCTTCAGAAATAATGCCTTTGTGCAATGTTAAAATGTGGCATTAGGCACAAAACACTGGATACAAAACTGTCCACAAAGTATAATCCCTATTTTGCAATAAGACTGAATTACTTACATAGGTGATCTATAATTATTTCTTGATAGTGAGTTAAATACATCAAAATGAGAGGATCTGATTTTTTCTTTTTTATGCTTTACCTCCCAAGTTGTCTACAACAAATATATATTACTTTAATTTGTTAACTTTTTTCTAATATAAAAATACCTGAACTCATACTCTATATGCAATTTTGAATGCTGTTTTTCTATCTTAAAATTTATGTATTTGTTTGAGTTCCCCAAAGAAACAGGAACAGTATATATTTCCTGTAAGGAATTGGCTCGTGTGATTAGAAAGGCTGAGAAGTCCAAGATCTACAGTTGGCAAACTGAAGACCCAGGAGAGCCAATGGTTTAGTTCTAGTTTGAATCTGAGCTGATTGGACAAGGCCTGTCCACATTGGAGAGGGCAATCTGTTTACTCAATCTACCAGTTCACATGGTAAACTCATCCAGAAACACCTTCACAGACATACCCAGGAACAGTGTTTTACCAAATACCTGGGCACCCTGTGGTTCAGTTAAGCTGATACATAAAATTAACCATCACAAATTATATTGATGAAGACCAGAGAGCCCAGAAATAAATCCCTAAATATACAATAAAACAACTTTCAACAAAAGTGCTGGGATTTTTCAATAGGGAAAGGATATTCTTTTCAACAAATGGTGTAGGAAAACTGAACATCCCATGAAAAAGAATGAAGTTGGACCATTATTTTATACCATATGCAAAAATTAACTCAAAATGGATTACAGACCTCAATATAAGACCTACAACTATAAAACTCTTAAAAGAAAACATAGGGGGAAGGCTTCATGGCATTGGATTTGACAATGATTTATGTATTTGTTTGAGTAGATATGACACCAAAGCACAAGCAATAAAAGAAAATGTGGATAATAGACTACATCAAACTTTAAAATTTCTGTGCATGAAAGGATCCTATCAAAAGAGTGGAAAGGTAATTCTCAAGATGAGAGAAAATATTCACAAACTATGTATCTGATAAAGAGGTAATATCTAGAATATGGAAGGAGCTCCCACAATTCAACAACCAATAAAAAACTAAACAGCCAAAAAATGGCCAAAGGGCTGGAGTTGACATTTCCATAAGAAGATGTACAAATGGCCAATAAGCACATGAGAAATGCTCAACATCATTAGCGCTAGGGAAATGCAAATCAAAACTACAGTGAGAACCATCTCACATACATTAGGATGGTTGTTATCCAAAAAAACATAAAATAACAGGTGTTGGTGACGATGTGGGGAAATTGGAACCTTTGT